GCAGCAACGGATGGGCAGCGTTACGGAGTGCTATCAGACGGCTAATATGTAACAAAAAATTAGTATGTAAAATAATATTATGACACGAATTGAGATCGTGGATAGAGGGGAGGGTAAAAGGGATGGGGAGGGACAAAGAAACTCACAACAGGAACGCTAATGAGGTCGGCTCCTAGCCCTGTCAGTAAGTACGTCTGGCCAAACCTGTTCATCGTTTTTCGGAACTCAACCAGAGAGCCGTGACGCCCCAACCGAGGTCAGCTCCGAAGTGAGGACCTTCATTTCTCTCGATCAAGTCATCGTTTGGCCACCTCTTCTTTCATCCAAACGCCCGGTGAGCAAACAACGCACGTCGCGGGAGCCAGTGAGCTGCCATGAATAAAACGTAGACGAGCCATCGGTGTCTGGTGCGTGAAATGACGGTGCTGAGCGGTTCAGTTCCTTTCCCTGTGTTGCAAACAAGGCGTCGAACACGGTAGTTGCTCACACGGTGTTCCCAACAGATGTGAGTCAAACTGTGAAGGCACCGATGGTCAAACGTAAATAACCTCTTAATATCTGCTGATCTAACGGGCCAGGTTTCACAACCGTACAGTAAGGTCGAAGGTACCGCCACATTGTACACTACCCTTCAGGGCGAGAGTGGTGTCGCGCCGGCGCCATAAGTGGCAAAGACCAGCAAAAGCCCCTCGAGCTTTTGATATACGGTTGGTGATCTCATCTTCGATCCTAAGAGCGCTGATACAACTTCCCAGGTAGCTGAATTTCTGAACGACTTCAAGCTGATCCCCACCGAGGGACAACGCAGGAGGCGGTCCAGGCCAATCTTGGAGGAAACCTTTGCACTTCGATGCTGCAAAGCAAATCCCGAAGCGACTACGGTGGGCCACCAATATGTGTGACGGTGCTCCAACAATTGACGTAAAGTGAAGATGTGGTCCATGCAGCCACGACCTCGACGAAATCCAGCTTACTCTTCACGAATATGGCTTTCACGAGTACCAGTCAGTCTGTGAAGGATGACAGAGGTAAGCAATTTGGAGGTGATGGAGATCAGACTGATTCCTCTATGCCTGCTGCATTCCGATCGTGAGCCTCCCTTGAAAATTGGGACTATGACGGAACGGCTCCAGTCGGTTGGGACATTTTCCTGCTCCCGCAGTTTAACTAGTAACTCGTGTAAATTATGCACAAGAGCAGGTCCCCCGAATTTGAGGAGTGCTGGGGGAGGATCATCTTATCCCGCGGTTTTATTTAACTTCAACAGTGCGATCTCACGTTCGACTTCTGAACGAGAGGGTGGATCGAAAGGGACAGTCCACGGAGTCCGGCGATAAGTGGCCGGCAAGAAATCGTACAATTTCGACCGATTAAATTACCTTTCAAAGTGCTCAGCCCAACGTTCCAAACCATTTGAAAAGTTGTGTATAGGCTGTCCACTCTCATCACGTATAGTTTCACTAACACCAGGTCTCCTGCTGCCCGTTTCCCGTATCAACCGGAATAACTTATGGTGGTTACCAAGGGCAGCGGCCAATTCCATCTCTGAAGCAGGATGAAACCACCAGGATTCGCTGTCTCTCTTCAGGCTAGCACGGAGTTTTGCCCGGAGCTCTTTGCGAGTTTCATTGCGTCCGCTTCCAGTCGGAATATGCCAGCAAGCATCGATAATTTCCAGAGACTTCGAAGAGACCCAATGTCCATGTTGGCGATTAGACTTGCCACATGAGGATTTTTCTGCTGCTAGTAAGGTGTGGTGAATATGCGACCAGTGACCTTCAATTGCCTCCAGTGAGCGCTTACTCAAACCGCATGACAGCGTAGTTTGATAGGCATTCAGAACAGCTGGTTTAGCCAATTGGCTGTTGTCAAGGCGCTCACGTCGTCGTGGGGTCCGCCAAAACGCATGCGCATGTCAGCACATACAAGCGGATGGTCGGTGTCCAGACATACGCTCCAAATTGAGCAACCGTTCTGGACGCAGCCTCTCCATCAGTGACTTATCGCAATGTGATCGATTTCCGTGCAAGGCTGGTGGGCGATATGTCACCCTCCGGCGGGTGCTTCATCGGAAATTAGTGCTCACAAGAAATAAGCGACCATCCTCACACTAATGAAGTAACCGCTCGCCGTTATCATTACGGGAGCCTACACCATGTTGGCCGCCCAGATGCATTTCATCAGTGGATAAATTTCCAAATTGAAGGTTTAGATCCCTGGCCAGCACTGCAGTGTCCGCGCTTTTTCTGTGGCGAAGGAGCTCGTTCAGTTGACGATAGAAGTCGTCTTTACCGAGTCATCTCTACAGATTGTGGGTGCATAGGCAGCGATAACAAATAGATACCTGCTAGTCCCGCGCGACTTCGAAACTCTGAACGAGCCAGTCAATCGGACCGCACACGTACGGCTACTGATTGGGATCCAACCAACCAGAGCAATTCCAGCACGGGGACTCAGGGCAATGACAACATCAGCTTGGCCGGTGCTGGAAGCTGCATCGTCACCGGATAGGCGCAATGAGAAAATACTGCTGGTGTCACCTGAAGGGGATCGTAGAGTGAGCACAGAGCTCGAGTCTTGTAAGCGGGTTTCTGATAATCAGCAGACATCGATGGAGAGGGTCTCCAACGTTCGGGCAAGTGCTGCCTGTTGACCGATCTGTAGCAATGTGCGTACATGAGGCATGTCCATCAGAAGGAAGATCGAGGGCTCCAAATGGAAGCCGATGATATGGGGTGGACCGTTTGGTTGGACATGGGCTTGTCAACGGACAGGAGTGACGCCCGCGCTTGCATGTGAGTTGAAACTAGAAGATAAACGCCTAGCAAAGCATGTTGGGGGAGGGCCAAGAACAGAGGGCTTGAAAACAGGTGGATAAAAGTGAAGCTGGAACGGGACGATAAGGGTGAGAAGGCGTAAGAGGGGGAATAAAAAGACGAGAAGGCTTGGGCAGTAGCACCCAAACCCCTATCTACCCTGCTCGATGCAGCAGATAGGGCACCGCTGATTATCCTCTGCGGTGGCCAGAGCACTAAGCAATTCTTTGAGAAAAGATTCATAGTATTGCGTTAGCAGGATGCTGTCAGGTTGCCCAGGACCAGACAGGAGAACGACTAGGGTTCTCAACCAAAGACTTCGGTTGAAAAACCTGACCGCAAGGCAGCGGGTTTGGCGCTGGGCTGCAAACAGTCCGTTTTAAGGAATAAGAAGCCACCCTCATTCCAACCTCCAATCTGGGGGACCAAAAGGCTGAGTTTGTCTGGCCTCTAACCATTGAGTGGTTTGAGTGGCCCCGAAGGTGCAAAAAAGCACCACCCAGCATAACTCAATGGATCCCTGAGGCACGCAAACCATCGCACCAGGGTAAGGTCAAGCGTCATTGTGATGGCTCAGATAGAGTAAGGGCTTATGACAGGATTTCGCCTTCCTTTGTGGTCACCAGTGGGGTTCGAGTAGAATGCCCTATTTATCCATTCCGTTCAATTTTGCCATTGAGGATGTCCTCAAAAATGCTCTAGAAGACTTGTAGAACGGTAGCGTTGAGCTCCTATCAGGTAGTCGGGTGGTTGATTTGGATTACGCTGATGATAACGTCTTATTGGGTTACGGTCCGAAGGCCGTCCAATTTGCACTTAACCGCCTGGCGATTGGAACGTCGAAGTGTGGCATGCACTTTTTATCATCCAAGTGCAAACCGCTTTTTTAAGATTGGCACATGCCCCTACTTGCACTCATCATGGGTGGTGAGACGCTGGAAGTTGTACAGACTTTTATCTACCTTGGAAGCTGCATCACTGCTAGTGGGGCTGTTGGAGACGAGATTTCGATGCGCATCTCAAGAGCTAGTCTCGCCTTCTCCAGGCTAAGGTATTTGTGGCGCCGCCATGACATCCGTCTATCCATCAAAGAACGGGTTTATAGTGTGACCGTCCGCGCTGTACTGTTGCACGGTTGCGAGACATGGCCTGCTCGTATCCATGACCTGCGGCGACTGTCTGTCACTGAGAAACGTTGATTGTGGACCATCGCCTGTGTGTGGTGGCTGCACCAGGTAACCAACGTTGAAGTCAGACAGCGTGTCTTGGGTAGAGGTAGCCACTCCCTCGAGGCGCTTGTCTCGGTGCACCAATTACCGTGGCTTGGACACGTACTGATTAGGCCCGTTCAGCGTCTTTCGCGTCATGCCTTGCTTGCAATCGCCGGACAGGGCTGGAGGAGGCGGCGTGGTGGACAGCCTACAACTAGAAGGATGAATAGGCTGACAAAACAGCCGGCTTCGGTTGGTTCTTCTCGATTCCCTCGATGGGGTCGCAACGATGCTGAGTGCCGCTGGTCGAAAACCTTGGAATCGATGGCTAAAAATACGCAAAAACTGTGAGCGGGAAAGTGGATAAAAAAGTTTACCTGTTGCCATTTTTCTTTTATTCCAATTATGTTTCTTATTCCGCCATGGTTCCGATATATATATATATATATATATATATATATATATATATATATCATAATGTCGTATACTGAATACAGTGCTCAAACTGTAAAAAGGGCTATGTACACCACCAAACAGGGAGGAAATTGTCACCAAGAACAGAAGGGCACAAACGAGTCTGAAAATATCACTACGCAGCGCTATTGGTCTCTACGCGCATCGATGAATAAGGATACCATTTTGATCGGAACAAAAGATTCTGACACATGGAAAAACAAGAAAACGGATAAAGTTCCTCAAAGCTTGACTCTCGACAAGGAACTTGACAAACATGCACGCTGGGCAGTTAGGCTAGCATTTGGAAGATTCCATCTCTAACTCACTTGCATTTCGATATTTGTGTTCTTATCACCGCAGCAAGGTGACATAAAGTAGCCCAATCAACCGCGCTTTCAGATAAGGAACAATTATCTCACCGACGGCTACAAACAGTTGCGCGAATATTTTACCACCAATTAAGTGCGAAAGTAAGTTTGAAACAGACATTTATTTAACTGTTTTAGAGAGCCCTTACCTAACCGAAGAATCGGAACCAGATTGATCCCCAGATCCCTGCCACTGCTCATCCTCGTCCTCGTGCGTCATGTTCCGACCTATAAGACAGAGAAAACCATATAATGGAAACATTAAACTGAACCGGGAAAACGCAATGCCTGCAAATTTTCAGTCATGATGAATGCACGCATGCTATTTTACCACACACACACAGTACACGTTACCTAAAGGTGAGACACACCTCAGCTGCAATACACAAAGATATCTGAAAATGCGAGATACCACTTTTAATACTAATAATTATATAAGATAAAAACAATTAAGAAAACAAAATGCAACGGGAATGAGATCGTGGTTGGAAGGGGGTCAAAAAGGGAGGGAGAATACAGAATATTGAGAAAATACAGCGAGTAGAGAAACCTCTGAGTGATTACCTACAATATTTTTCAAGTAAACCCACCTATTATGATTATGCCTCGAAAAGTGCGAATCCAGGAGTCTTAAAATCGGACACCGACCTTGTTCGACTATGTCTGCAGGCAGGCTGTTCCAAATTTTCACCACCCTCCGCTCGAAGCAGAATTGGTGAGCGACCCGCTTCAAATCCGGTACGACAAACCTGTACCAGTGTCCTCGTGTGCTTCTTGGTGTGTGCAAATGAAGCAGCGGCCTCAACATGGGGTAATCATCCAGTTGTAATATCCAGTGCGTAATTATGATGATTATGTACAACCCGAGTCTCTTGCATCGGTCTTCAGATGGCACACATCGTAAACCGGGGACGAGTCTTGTGGCCACATGCTGTACCGCTCAATCCTTTGCACCTCGCACCAGCTGAGCGGACAGTGAGCGGATGAGCTGTACTCTAGCATTGATCTGATAATAGAAGAGAAGAGACGGGTGGCAACCTCTTCGGACCAAATGCAGAAGCTACGTTTGAACGCCCAGAGCATGCGCATTCAGTTTTTGTAAAGCTTGCTCGTGTTTTCAACGGATTTCAAATCGCAGCGTGAGAGCACGTGGGAGCTTTCATGGATGGCGATGAATGTAACTGCTGGCCGGCTAGATTGTAGACTCGACCATTACCACCCTTGTCCAGGCTCATGAATACCGACTTGACTGGGTTAGTCGGAAGGCTGACCTTCGCTGACCACATAGCGAGGCGGTCAAGGTCACGCTGAATCAGGTCGCAGTCGTCTGGCGCCTCAATTACACCCAATACCCTAAGGTCATCTACAAACAACGCGCAAGGTGAACTGAGAAGCTGAGGCAAATCGTTGATGTGGATCGGAAACAAAAGGGGCCCAAGTACTGCCTTGCTGAACGCCACTGGTCGAGGGATACCACTCGGTCAAGTGGTTGTCCACCTGCACTCTCCACGTCCGACCAATAAGGAAGTCACTGATCCACTGGTGCAGTGAGTCACCAACGCCGCACATCTTCAGCTTCCGTAGGAGGATCTCATGGTTCACCTTGTCAAACGCTTTACTGAAGTCGATGCAAAGAACGTCAACCGACTTATCTTGGTTTAGCGCTTGTAGCCATTCGTGCCTCGAGAGCAGCAGGTTTTTGATGCATAACCGAACCCTTCATGAAACCGTGCTGCGCGGGTGTCAAGACGTTGCAGAAAACCATGTTTCACGATCTTCTCGTGTGCTTTTGAAAAAAAGAGGCCAAGCATATCGACCGGTAGTTGTCTACCTTACTCGGATCGCCGCCTTTCGGAATCGACTTCACTAGTGAGCATTTCCAGTCGCTCGGCAATGAACCGGCAGACATCGACCTGTTGAATAGCTCAATCACCGAAGGCGAGATCATGGTTAACAAAGATTTGAGGATCAACGGATAGAGCCCATCAGACCCTGCAGGCTTGGTACCGTCAAGACTGGCGAGCAATTTACTCACATCCTCAACGCTGAAATCTAGGCTATCCAGTTCGGGAGGGGCGATATGCGTCGATCTCCGTACGGACGCATAGTTTTCTGCAAAAACGGAAGCGAAGTGCGATGCAAACGCGGAAGCGCGCTTAGTGTTGGAAACTAGGGAGCGTCCAACACAGGCACATCACTTGCTGGTTTCAGGCGTCGCTTCACATATGCAAAAATCCTTTTGGGAGCTGTTCTTGATGCGGTTGCATGCCGCTCTTCGAAGCTTCAGCGTTGATTCGTTTTCGTGCTGTTGCACGCACTGCGCTGCCTTTAGTACGCCTCGTAACCGTCCGCAGAGCCAGGTTACACGAAAGTATTCCATAGCCGGCGTCGCCGTCAAGCCAGTATGCCACGCTCCTTGTCAAATCAGCGTAACTTGACTGGTCCAGTTTTCCGATATTTCAGGGGCACAAATCGGACGCACAATGATTTTACTCCCCCTTTTATGACAGGCTAATACCCTTCAACCGATGTATCCTGCGGTAGCGACCAGTCCATGATGCTTGCGACTCGAGTGAGGCCATTGAAGACCGCCTTTCAGTAACTGAAGGCTGACTACAGCGGAGGAGTAAAAGGCAGTGGCAGCTCTAAGCTCGCCATGATCATCGAGTAGTTGCTAGCTACCAGGGGCTCTAGGACATGAAGATCACGCCCATGTTGATCGCAGCTAGTCAGCAACAGGTCCATGCACGACGGTCGAGCGCGCGATAATGCACGTCGGCTGACTGATGTGCTATGTGGCTCCAGTTTCAAACATCCCCTCCGCAAACTTCGTCTCCACTTCGCAGTGGCCGGGGAGAAGCTCGACCTCGAGCCACCGTATTCGAGGAAGGTCGAAATCGCCCATGTGCAGGAATTGCTGACGACTCATGAGGTTGCACACACGAGGCAACCATTCCAAGCTGCGACTCAGTGGACTGCGATGCACAACACGAACGGGGAGTTCGTCGCGTCTCAGGACGATCGAACACCACAGCTGCTCACATAGGCCATCACCGCTTCTGTAGATGCTCACGAGTCTCACGCACAAGGAAGACCGTGTGTAGAGCAACACGTAACCGCGGTCGTTTGATGGCCTATCAAAGCGGAAGCAAGAATACCCGCTGCGGTTGAGTTCTTGCACGGTTATCTCTGAATTTAACCAAGTTTCAGCAAGGCCAAACACGTCTGGTTGTCGAGAGGCAACGAAGTGGCAAACGGGGACGGACAAGGAAAACCACAGTAAAAAAGCAACTGAAATCGGCTCTTCATCATGTCAAGAAGTGCATCCAACCAAAGGTGTTTGTCCTTGGAACACGAGCCCGGCAGTCCGAGCTCACTAACTGAGTGGTCCACTTCTTGACCAAATCACCCACTGTTTTAGCAAGTACGGCATGCATCTCTTCCATGCGATTAAAATGTAAAGTTTGTTTTCCCGTACCACTTCGCCCCACAACTCCATCTTGCCTTATGTGTCTCGCTTGTCAGTCGACCAAGAGGTCAGTGCTTTGCAGAGGACCTCACCTCCATCCTTAAATAGTGCAGGTGGGAGGGAATCCGGCCCAACGGCACGAAAACGATTGAGGACTGTGGTCGCGTTTCGGACCTCGGCCTCCGACGGAGGCTCTAAACTAGCCGTCCAGGACTCGTCCTGCATCACCTGAGGATGACGAGGTCCGGGAGCGGAGGAGGGGGTCAGCTAAACTGATCTTGAAAGTGTTCCGCCCAACAAGCTATACGGCGCTCCTTACTGTGTATCAGTGAACCCGCGCTGTCTCTGATTGGCTCACTGACGTCTGATTTTCTGGGACCAGTGGTGCGGATTAGCTGGAAGAGCTTGCGGTAATTGCCTATTTATCCTGCCTCCTCCATTTCTTGTTCACGACGAGTCCATCAGGCTTCCTTGCAGCATGTAGGCTCCGCCTTAGTTCACGCCTAATAGCCCGTCTGGTCACATTGTGTTCAGAGGCATTCGGGAGGTGTCTTCTAGATTCCAACAGGTTCACCGATCTCTCAGATATCCAGTGACTGGTGCGGAGACGACTGATAGTGCCACAAGCGGATGCTCCTGCGTCGTGCATGGCAGACCAGATCCTATTCTACTGAAGCCCAGTGTCATTTGGACAAGACAGTGAAAGTTCCCTACGCAGTGCGTCTTGATAGGCTTGCCTGACCGAGGGCTGAGACCATTTCTCAGTTGCCAATCGGAGGAGACGCTTTGTGCGACTCCCGGTAAAGTTATTGGAAGAGTGACAGCGTACCAAGACATGATCAGAGTCGACGCAGATACTCCAGTACGAGCTGCAATCCAGTATGGAACCACGCCACCTGTAACTTATGCCTGTGTGGTCATTTTGGGTCCATCGATGGCCAACTAAAGAAGGACGCTAAATGGTACTTCGTCGCCCACTGTGTCTAAAAGCAGTGCTACTAAGAAACAACTGGTGCTCCGCACACACTTGTAGCAGACGCTCGCCGTTGTCAGCCCGTTCGGAGTTAAGCCCATAATTACCACCCAATTGAGCTTCTGAAGAGCTCAGACGCCCTACTTGTGCATTCCTATCTCCTGCAAGTACTAAAATATTTGAACTAGTAGAACTGCGTAGTAACGCGTTCAGTTCGTGATAGAATGTGTCCTTGTCAGCATTAGAACTGCAGTCAGTGGGAGCATAAACAGAAATCAGAAACAAACAGCGTTTTGTACTACTTCGTGAATCCACCTTAGCTGATGTCGTCAAATGGGCTGAACATAAACGGCTGTTCATCGGAATCCAACTAACCAACAATGGCTCAGCCTTGGAGCTTAGAATGATAACTACACCAGCTTGACCCGTGAGTGCTGCATCGTCGTCTCCAGATGCGTGCAACCAATGACAAGAAGATAAGCCGGGTGTAGATAATTCAATAACCCCGTTAGGGTCATTGATCCTAGTTTCAGACACACAACACACATCAATACGCAGTGTGTCCAAAGTGTGTGCGAGTGCAGCCTGTTGACCTGTTTGTCTTAGAGTGCGAACGTTGAATGTCGCCGTGGAAACGGGACAGTGTGGCCTTATAAGGGACTTCTGCCAATAGGCGTCCGATAGGTGGTGTGGGATGGTGGCTGCAGATGGTTCTACTCCAGTGGCACTTCGGTTGCTTTCAATTAAGCTGGGAATTATAGAAGGTAGGTTAGTAATGGGGGTTGGGATGGGAGTAAAAGAAACAGGGAGAAAAGAAAGGAGGCGCCAGCAGTAGCATGTTTTCGCTTATCCGCCCTGTTGTATGCAGTAGATAAGGCGACCCCTGATAATCTGCGCGAAGGCCGATGCAGGATGAAGTTTATGTTTGAGAAAAAGTTGAAGATTCAGCACGACAGTGTTATGTTGTATGTGTTTCGCAGACACGGCAGACATCAGTAGCAAAAGAATGAACAGTGAGTCAGTGCTACTTGTTGACCGATCGGACTAAGAGTGGAGATGTTAAAAAAACCAAAGTGAAATGAAGGTTACACGCATCGAAAGCATCAATCAGGGAAGTAGCGGTAGTCTTCCACTGTGGACGGAGAAGAGAGTGGCATTGGGAGGGGGCAGGTGATACTCTCCAGTTGCGCATTCCGAAAGATGGGTCTTTTTCGAGGTGGCCTGTTTCTAACCTTTGACTCAACAGTCTGACCCACAAAACAGTGGGGATCAAATTCAGCTGGGGAGTGTGATTGTCGAGTCCCTTTGGGATCTGATCGAAGTCTGTCACAGGTAGTTTCTAAAAACTTAGGATAATTCACATGCTTTTTGAGCGTCCTGCAACATGGTAACTTTGTGCGTTTGGTCACTTGAAAACCAGCAACAAATTCGCCGCTGACTAACTGAGAACGCAGTCGAACGGAGCAAACGTTGGCACAAACCAACGGATCAACAGTTGGGGACAATGGTCACGGAACTTCAAAGTGACGGTTACATGCTTCAGTGCCAAATAAGGGTTACGGTCGCTGAGAGATGTTAATACGTTGATCTACTCACTATCATAACCGGAAACATCGAGTGGGGGTCAAACTGATGATATGCCCCATGTAAAGTTTAGCGATAGACGGAGCCCCTTACTTTTCCGTTGTTGCTCGTTCCGTTGCTTGTTGCACCGCCATTGTATATATATATATATATATATATATATATATATATATATATATATATATATATATATATATATATATAATATATATATACTCTGATCGGTCACTTTGAAGCTTCATAGAAGTGCATGACCTTTGTGCCCGAACGCTCTGACCCATAAGTTCGTGCCTTTGTCTACTCATCTCGACCGAGTACAAAATTACCGATTAGTACACGTGAACCAAACATTTGTTCACGGTTGGTCTATCTTTGCCTGATGAGTGTAAACGAGGACGAAACCGTCGGTCGTGGAATGTAGTGCTGGGAGCGAACAACTCCGGATACCGTGCGTAAATGTGCTGTGATTTTTAAGGGATCAGGTGGCATGAAATGCTGCATTCACACAACACTCGTTTCATTATTATCCTATGCAAAGCTTCCCTTGGTACACGGTGAGTTTGCAGGCAGACGGCAACTTAGTTAAACTCGTTTGTTCAACGAAGCAACCATCACCCCCAACCCCAACCCCATGGCTCGTCTGCAAACTTCATTGCTGCGGACAGACCGGTAGTAAATAAAATGAGCACTCCCAAGTAGGTAAAAATGTCGAATATATACCGAATTTCTTAAGCAAAATGATCGAGTTTCAACGCTAAGAAGTAGAACAGCCCATACGACCGACGTGTAGAGAGTGAAGCGAAGATAAGTGGAAATCCCATCACGGTAACAAAAGTATCTCAGACTCATGGTGGCAATTTGACTACTTGCGATAAACGAAGTAGCTTCAACGGCCAGAGGGAGAAATTGATCACTTATCTGCAGTCTTTCATCTTCAAGAATCAACCGACTGTTGGCCCTGGGGCAGCACTTTGCAAAGCACATGCCAAATAATGGGACCACTTTTAACAGTATAATTAGAATAGACCGCGCCGCATCTACTATCGAACAGCAAGACGATGTCATGCGTAGACATCATACCAATCAGTTATTCCTGGCAGGACACTAAGTCAGTGAAACTACGGCGTCCGTTACTGGTCCGCAATCACTCCATCAGCTCGGCCTGTGACCGGATCTCACCGATTCCAATCGGCGTAGGTCCGAGCTACTAAGCGACATACCCAGTCTTCGCGCGACCGTTGGTGGTCGCGTGGCAGTGAAGCGTCTATACGATGTGTCGGCTTACTCTGGATGTATTTTTCTCTTATTTGGAATTATTAGTGATATAATTATTCTCACTATGTTGGTGACTTGGATCATGGCAACTGCATCCATTGAATCCTCGTGCGGAGAATAGTGGTGAACTGAGTTGCCATTAGGGATAACACTGAAAAACCTGAAACTCCGACCACTCCAGAATAAATACGTCAGCATCGGTTAGAATCAAGTGGCAAACAGAAACGGTTAACGTGAAGATGGAGACTACACAAATGAACGAGACAGTTCCAGAAAAGCTAACGTCCACACATTGGACGGTCATTTTGAAGAGCTCAATCTCAATGTGGACCGCGGTCCACATTGTAGTGAATCTTGATCAACGTGATCACTGGGATCGCTCGAAAACACTGCACATCACGAGGCGTTTCTACCTTGTTTATTCTCATCAGGTGGATAGCAGACCTCGAACCCAGGACGAGTGGAATGGTAGTCGAAACGGCTACCCCTCTGGCTACCGTTGTGCCAATCGTTGCTTATTGTCACCCGGTGGCTAAAGGAGTAGAGGTTTCGGCTACTATACCAAAGGTTCTGTGTTCGAGCCCCGCTATCTCCACCTGATGAGAATAAACAAGGTCGAAACCGGTCGTGCAATGCAATATTTTTGGGCGGGCAACACGTATTACGCATCTGCCAGCGACCACTTAGTACGCTGGATTCACTGGGTGCTTGTAAGTCAGTACTACGATTGTTTTCACAGATTTGAGTGAAACCTTACATTACTCATTCAGGTTGTGGTAAAAAACAGCCTCATAATCCATCGACTGGTAGGCAGTAAAAACAATAAAGGTCGCAAAATGATCTGATTGGGGTACGTACGGGCACCACGCTTCCAATCTTGCCGGCCCTTACGCACCGCTGGTCGAGAAGTGGAAGACTGTGAGCCAGAACGAGAAGCCGAGGATTGTTCAGATTCGGATCTAGAACGTCGAGAACCGCGCTTCCCATCGGTCCAAAGGCGCTGGCCAGAGCTAGCCATCATGCTGTCATCTACCGTGCTTCCATAGCCGTGGCGTTGGGAACCTCGGTGATCGGTAGAACGATCTGAGCCGGACCGGGAATCAGATGACTGACTATTTGAAACAGAAGACGCGCTCGGACTACGTTGAGGACCACGATGATATCGTCCACCGCGTCGATCTTTGTTTCGTATCGGAGAGCTGAGGTAATCTTTCATTGCTTTGGCGCATGTTGCTTTCCAAGAGCCTGCAACGGAAGCCAGTGATGACGCTACAGAAGATGAATCACGACTGGATGACCTCGAAGAAGCACGTGAAGAACTCGAGGCGGAAGACGACATAGTTTCTGAGGAGTCGCGGCGGCTGTCACGACGATAAGTACGGCGTTTACGGCCGGTATATTCGTCGGATAACCCTAATCGCCACTTGGCCAGCTCCGTTGCAGCAGGAGGCCGTAGATCTTCAGGTAAGAAGCGAAGGCTTGTGAGTTCAGTGCGACCGATGATGCACACTTGATAGTAGCTCGGCCAGCTAGAAACAGAAAACAAATAGGGAGATTCAAATCAAATAACTGTTGTACGAAATGATCAAATAAAATAAGAGTAAAATAGTGAGGCTTGGATTAGAGAAGCGGAAAAACGAGCCTAATTGATGCAGGCTAAAGGCCAAAAAATGCAACGTAGGTACTATCTATCAAAACAATTACGAATGGTTCGTGGACGAGGCCATCACAGACCTCATGCCTTAGAGGGAGGGACCTATAGTCTACTGTTTCATTGGATGTCAACTTCAAAGGCATACAGAATAATCCAATCCAGTCTTTATATACGACCGTGGCCGCATACCAATTGGGGGTGAAGATGAAAACTGAGAAATTCCAGCCAAAGTTGCCGCACGACCGATAGCTGTAGTAAACCCAGTTGGTTATCATAAAACAAAGGCACTCTGTGGGTAATGTGTGTGGTGGTGGTGCTCATCAACCGACCCCATGCCCCACAGACTAGATAATTTAACGAAATTCGACTGCAGCGAAACGTGCTTGCACCCGTGACAGAAATACACTACCAACACTAATTCTATTAAGATAATGAAATAGAGAACCCACGCGGAGCCCCGTGTGATCGTAAAGACAGCTCCAGATGAATCCGCTCCTCAAGTAATTGTGAGATGAAGCACCGAGTACAAAGCCAGAAGTGAGAATAGTTGGTAGATGTCTTTCAGAATGGTCGGAAAGAAAACGGCCATGTCACAAGGGCAACAACTGATGAATGTGAGCAAATGAAGGACAAAATACCGAATTAGTACTATGAGCAACAACAGCTGGCAGATGGTAGCAGTGAAAGGAGCACGAGGCCAAATGCGACAATGCTAGCGCACAAAAATAAGAGCTCAGTCTCGACGATGGCTGGTAGTGAGTCATTCAAATGGAAAAGCCATGCACCGACGAAACTCAATCCACTGGTTAGTCGTTCAGGCCATAGCATAATGTCATCACCGGCATGGTGTACAAAAGACGATAAATAACGGCTCGCAGTAGATCTCTTCCTATTTTGCTGAGTACTGTGCTCAAAAGCGCGCTGTGCATATAGACCCGCTACTGTTTCATTCTCAATCTAATGAACGATTTGTCAATTCCTTTAAACAGACGCTTCTGAAGACGAGGGTAAATAGGATTACACAGATGTTGGATGCTTTCCTACTAACGACACAAAATCACCAATTACCAAACCAGCTGTCACCGCACAAGTGCGAATCGGACGAAAATTGCGCACTCTGATGGCGCTGCTACGTGCCAGGATGCACTGGACCGAGTAGCACTGGCGGTCAATCCTTCTGGGCTATGTTTTGTTTTATCGAAATGCAAAGTTGTTCTCCAGGATTGACAAGGATCCACCCTTGCGCTGACCCTTGGTGTTGATCAGCTAGAAGTCGCTCAGAAATTCAAGTACCTGGGCAGCTATATTAGCGCCTGTGAGATTGAAGCTGAGATTACGAACCGTATAGAAAGCTCAAGATGCATTGGCCAATCTCCGCCACCTGTGGCGCAGACGTGACATCACTCTCACCCTGAAGGGCAGTCATCCGTTCAACCCTCTCATACGGTTGTAAAACCTGGCCCATCAGGTCGACAGACATAAAGAGGCTAGCCACGTTCGATCATCGCTGCCTCCGCAGCTTAGCTCATGTCTGGTGGGAGCACCGCGTGAGCAATGAGCGTGTTCGGCGTCGCGTATTTGGTGCAGGAAGAGCTAGTGAACCGCTCAGCAGCGTTATTTCACACATTAGGCTCCGATGGCTGAGCCACGTGTTGCGCATGTCAGCACACCGACTCCCGCGACGTGCACTGTTTGCGCGTTGTGGGTGCGGTTCTAAGAAGAGGGGAGAGGTCAAGCGATCAGTTGGTCGGGAGAAATGAAAATCCTCACTTCGAAGTTGGCGTTCGTTGGTGCATCCCGCCTGCCTGGCTGGGGCCCTAAGGACGATGAGCACGTTTGGTTGGACACACTTGCTGATACGGCTAGGAGCCGAACTCAATGGCGTTTGTGTTGTGGGTTCCTTTGTCCATCCCCCTCCTGCTTAGCCTACCCCTCCCATCACGATCTCATTCGTTAGGCGTAATATAACTCTTTTTGCGGCACAATAGCCGGCTGTTAGCTATCCAGAACGATATCCATCCGTTACTGGGGACTCAGCCGGCGTGTCTCTGTTGATATTTAAATCTTGTCTTTTGTATTGCGGCACAATAGCTGAGGTGTTTTCCACTTGTAGCTAACGTGTATAATGATGATGATGGCATAGCTTTAGAGAAGATTAATTGCAACCAGTTTCAAGCCAGAGAGTCCCACACACATCCAGAAAGCATTGGAGGGCCGCATGGTTCTATAAAAGGCTCATCAGCATCGCACACTCTTCTGGCGTGTATGAAGATTGCACTCACGAATGTCAACAAAAGGGCAATGGTTGCGGCAGCGGACCACCATACATATTAATAAAGTGCAAAGGACAGGGCAGGCTGCCAGTGCTGCCGACTCTTCTCAAACGATATGTGAGACGTTCGGGAGAGTATCAACTGTCCACAGACTTGTGGAGGTCAGCTGCCGCCACCCGTGTCCTGGTGCCATATATACATGGGTCATGGATTCGATTCACTAAGGAGTCGAGAGATGGACTCTGTCGAGGAGATCCAAAAGGACGAAACGGCATTCCAATGTTTTGCGGACGTGCGTTAAGCTAGATAACTAGGAATCCGCTGCAGTGAACCCATCTAAAATAACTAAGAAATGCTGAATGACAGTGGGCTGCACAGTATCAAATGCAAACGTCATGATGAGTGCATATGCGATGGCTGTGGTGACTAAAGTGACGAAGTCTGATTCGATGTTGCGATTGTTGTCTCTAGAATTTATGAGCAAATCTCCAAAATGAGGGTACGCGGATCAGCCACACCAATCATTAGAGGGACAATTGTGAAAGCAATGGCGCTCGTAACTTCGCAGCCTAGCTCTTCGCTCTTAAGCCACCAGTATGCAAGCTAATTTGTCTATCATCAGAAGCGAACAATTGTTTTTGATTAACCCGTCGTCAGGTTTACTACAGAAAATGATCGTTTCGGACCCCTCCAGATTCGCACAGCGTGAACAAGAGGACAAAATGGAATATATGGAAACACAATTCGCAAAGTTTGTGGTCGTCAGTGACTGATGGCTATATGACTAAAAAAAGACGTGAGAATCTCAAATCTACCAGCCATTACTCCTAGGCTTTATGGCCTCAAAAAAATGCAGAAGCCGGACACACCTTTGCGACTGATACTGGATATGAGGGACCTTAAACAGCATCGCAATAAAAGCATCAGCAGTACGCAAATACGCAGTACCGACGCTTTTCTGTCGCGCAGCTATCACCTGTCGGACGTGGCCTAAGGATACTGCGAGAGTTGCCCGGTCCCTAAGCAGGCTCGAACCCGCGCCCTCGGATTACTAGGCAGGCTTGTGATCCTTAAGGCAACGGGACAAACGATATTGTAAAATGGTTGGCGACTATGTTGGATATTACTTGAAATTCCAATCCGTTAAAAGGGTTAAAAACGTGATCATCCTGGGCCATGGACATCGTATCGCAGTCTATCAGTGTTCCACCACAAGAAACACATCTTTTTGAGTTTACGTTGACCTGTACAAGAAAAGCATCGAGATACCAACTGTTTACTTAAATCAAACGTTACTCAGATGCAAATATGACATCCAACTCCAATTCAACAATGAATGATGCATGCAAGTGGCCGGAACATCTATGGGGTCGCTTCTCGGGTGTGTTAGCAGATGTCTGTACAAGGGCATGCTGCAGCATGGTCCAGTGAAACACCATTTCGAGCATACAGTTCTAAGGACGTTTTGTGGACGATAAATTCTGTTTAAGCGATCAGACCGACAGAGCACACCCCCCAACGTCTCATTCACAGCTAAAGTATCAACCAACTAAATTTCTTAGATGCAAACTTAAGGAGAAGAAGAGATGCATCACTCCACATAGGATCATACAGGAAGCCATACCGGATAGGACAATAAACTCACTTACATGGCATTATTTCACCAGGTGATAAAAGAACATTGGTACACAATTCGATAGACCATGCACGCAGAAACTTCAGAGGGGATATAATTAAAGATGAACTGAGGCGAATCAAACAGACGCTTGTTGAAAACGCCTATCCAGAATTTTGCATCGACCCACATATGAAGTCAAGCAGTCAGAGATCCACAACACAAACGGCCGATAATAAACAGCTGTTTCCCAAACTTCCTTTCAAGGGTGATAGCGGCTGACCAACGATGCGAAGCTACACAGACTTTCTAATGCAGCGCGACTTAACGTCGTCTTTACCAGAAAATCGCTAACTGTTCATAGATTCAAAGTGCCTGATCAACTCCCATTAGTTAACTACAGGTTCACCTGATCCTGTGGGGTTAGATACATTTGACGCCCAACCAGACACTTAAAAAGCAAATCAAGGAATATTTGTCGAAGATGATCATCGATCAGGGGGACAGAACTGATTTAAGCCCCAGAACTATCCATTTGATTTGCACTTGGCATCAATTTGATAAACGTAGCGCTTTAGAAATCGTATATAGAGTAACGTCGCATTTAAACCACCGGTCAGGGGCACAGATACTAACTACCGCTGCAGCGGTACGCATCAGAGTAACTAAACCGAACCTAGGTATTCAGAAGAAGCTCGTCCACGCAGTGCAACTGTTCTGACCAGCAACCAACCGAGACGAATCGGATTTTACTCAACCGCACCATGTGCCGTCAATCAACTGAACACTTGAGGAGTGTTATGAAAACCGTTTCATTCTGTCCAATCAATAGCCGATCTCTGTACCTTCTAAGGAACCACACTTAATGCAAGTTTATGTGATAGGTCTGACAATGGAAAAATCGAAAGAATTTATCGCTTAAAGCGTATCAGTTACGCTTCTTTTGTGAATGGACGATAAACTGATATTTTAAGTCAGTTAATTTGTCTCATTCCCTCGAATTAACCCCACTCCTATAAACTACCCATTACTTGCCAATATTAGCTCCACGACAACGTGAGTTGAAAGAACCGCGTCCATCACAATCCGGCACACGTGCCATAAATACTTAGAGGAGAAATCCAACCGAAATCTCGTGGCACCTCTAGTGACCAGACAACGTCAGAAAAGACAGTGTATACCGAGTGCCCGTGTGAAAAATTCCCATGAGAAATCCGGCCGTAGCGCAAAAGCAAATGCGAACCCAGTGGTCTGCACTATTGTCAACCACTATCCAATCAAAATGCTGATGAACCACTAATCCGACAAATTGGAAAGCCGTAATGAAAATCTAGTACGGGGTCATTGAAAGTGGAGTAGTCGAGTGTTCAATGAGAGTATCAAGGTTATCCACAACTGGGTAATGGGTAAGGTTGAGCGATGAAAGTCTCTATATGAACGAAATCGAAACTGAGTAGATGGGGTTCAGGTTCAGAAACATACCACAGGGATAAAACTGCAAATGACAGACGAAACAAGCGAACTATTAGTCATCGGACAAGTAATAACAATATACAAGACTGGATGTTTGTAGATAACTGAAGCGCTCGAAATTGTCAGGCTGTTCATGCTAATGACTTAGACTGCTTGAACCGCGTGGTGTGGTAGCACCCAAACCCGAGGCATCCGAAGCCACTAATACGGATGGTACGGGTGGGAAGCTGAAGACACGTTAACTTTACTCCACAGTAAAGGTGATCCCAGACGTGTTCGGTAGGGATGCTTTAAATGGCTGCAAGCAGATGAACAGAAGAATATAACACTCAGTTTGAATAGGAAAGATGGAACTCACAGGACATCGCCTTTGGACGCCTGCTCTAATTCGTCGTCAACCATCTGGACTGGAATGCTCAATGTCATCCGTTTTTCTGCCAAATCCTTCTCGGCAGCTTTCAAAGCTTTTGCTTTTTCCAAACGCTGCAAAAATAAAGTTTATCTCTAATAGTAATAGTACAAAGCAAAACGACAAGATCAAGAGAATTAACAATTGCACAGTTCCCAATGCATACAGAATGAGCAAGACGGTCATGGAGAGGCTGTTCACATTTAAATAAGCAAGGTCACGCTTCGCAAAGTGAGCAACATTCTTCTCTGTAGTAAGCCGACGAGGCTAAACCAATGGACGGTAGTTCTAACGCTTTAGTAGGTGAGGGAGTGATGCAATTAGGGCCGTGGTTACCGCTGTCAACAAGCCACTGCTTGCTCGTTCTGGGGTGAGGTCTGTAATAAAGCAACAGTTCCAAACTCTTTGGATTGCTGATGGGTAGTTCAGACGTGAACTGTAACCCAAAAGTTGCCGATTCAAACTGGCGTAAGAGCGAACAACCTTGCCGTATTCCTATCCCACACGCAACAAGTGGTGGCGAAGCGTAAGTACTGCTCATGCAGTTCTCTTACATCCAGGATCCATGCACACTGACTGTGATCAGGGAGAAAATGAAGGAATGATTCGGAATGTAGAACTAAAGCCGCTCCAGAGGTAAACGAATACATTGACTACCTGCATTGAATAAGCTGAAAAGGTGAGATTAAGAGTAAGTTTTCTTCGGCTCGTACTTCAAGAGGCGGTCATGTAGAATTTCGCGGCGGACATTATCAACCCAACCTGGTCAGCGACCAGGTCACAGATTACCAATTTTAAGTCATTGCGTCAATTATCCGGAGACGGAGCCACTAGACCAAAGATTACTAGAGAATAATCCAAATTGTCGCTAGGAGTTTATTTATGGTCCAGCAGCCAACCCAGATAAAAAGAATGCATATTTATTAGTAGTAAACCCACGCACACTGTGTACTCTAAAATGACGGTGAAAGAGACTTCTCTCAATGAGCAGTGCAAGCAGAGATCAGGCGCTGATACTGTAAAAACATAAGTAAAACTGACCTCACGAGCCAAACGCAAACCACGTTCCCACGGTGTCTCATCCTTTGCAGCCAAATGTTCTACTTTGGCATCAACCTGGAAATAGCGCAGAAAAAAATACGTGAACTGAGAACGGCGGAAAACCAGTTGCTTGTCAAAAAGCGTATGGTCGTCGTTAATGATGATAAACGATGAATGAGTACGATAAATCTAATGAGACGCAAGCAATCGAGTGTGGAAGATCTGAATGCTGACTCTCATCAGAAGAACAACAAAAACAGAAACGGAACGGTTAGCTGTGTTGCTTGCCGCAGTCCATCCAATCGGAGTTAGGCTCATACTTACCACATCGGTGGGCTTCTGAAGAGCTCAAACGATCTACTTGCGCATTCATATACCCTACAACAACCACGAAATGTAAACTGGCAACACTTCAAAACAGCGTGTTTTATTCGTGGTACAAGGTGTCCTTAGCAGCATCGGAACGGCAGTCGCTCAGCGCATAAGTGACAATAACAGACAAACAACGTTTAGTGCTACTTAGTCCATCGCAATGAGGCTGGACCTTACCCTGGTGCGACGGTTTGTGTGCCTCAATGATCCATTGAAGCATGCTGGGTGGTGTTTTTTTGCACCTTCAGAGCCACTCATACCAGATTGGTCAATGGTTAGAGGCCAGACAAACGCAGCCTTTTGGTCCTCCAGGTTGGAGGTTGGAATGAGGGTGGCTTCTTATTCCTTAAAACTGACTCCTTGTAGCCTGCCGCCAAACCCGCTGTCTTGCGGTCAGGTTTCTGTACCAGAGGCTTTGGTTGAGAACCCTAAACGTTCGCCTGTCTGGTCCTGGGTAACCTGACAGTATCCTGCCCATGCAATACAATGAATTTTTCTTCAAACAGTTTCCTGATACTCTGGCTATCGCAGAGGATAATCAACGGTGCCCTATCTACTGCATCAAGCAGGGTGGATAGGGGTTTGGATGCTACTGTTCAAGCCTTCCCGTCTTCTTATTCACCATCTTACGCTTTTTCACCCTTATCGTCCCGTTCCAGCTTCACTTTTATCCACCTGTTTTCAACTCCCCTGTTCTTGGCCCTCCCCCACCTTGCTTCAATAGTCGGTTGTCTTCTAGTTTCGATGCACATGTGAACGCGGAGCGTCATTCCTGCCCTGTCAATATGCCTATGTCCAAGCAAGCGGTCAAGCTCAGTTCATCGGCTTCCATTTGGAGCCCTCAATCCTCCTTCAGATTGACATACTTCAATGTACGCACATTGCTTCAGATCGGTCATCAGGCAGCACTTGCCCGAACATCTCGATCGAGATCTGCTGCTTATCGGAGACTCGCCTACAAGACTCGAGCTCTGTGCTCACCCTGCGATCCCCTTCAGGTAACACTAGCAGCACTTTCTCATTGCGCTTAGCCAGTGACGATGCAGCTTCGAGTACCTGTCAATCCGGTGTTGGTATTGACCTGAGTCCCCGGACTGAAGCTACTCTGGTTGCTTGGATCCCAATCAGTAGCCGTATGCGTGCGGTCCGATTGGCTGGCTCGGTCAGAGCTCCGAAGTCGCGTGGGACTAACAGGTGTCTATTCGTTATCGCTGCCTATGCACCCACAAACTCTAGCGATGACTCGGTAAAAAACGACTTCTATCGTCAAATGAACGAGCCCCTTCGCCACAGAAGAAGCACGGACACTGTTGTGTTGGCTGGGGATCTGGACGCTCAAGTTGGAAAATTACCCACTGATAAACTGCATCTGGGTGGCCAAAATGGTGTAAGCTCCTGTAATGATAACCGTGAGCGGTTACTTCATTAGTGTGAAGATGCTCGCTTATTTTTTGCGGGCACTAATTTCCGACACTGCATCCGCCGGAGGGTGACTTAGTGCCAACCAGCCTCGAACCAGCTATGGACGCAAATCGATCACATTGCGGTAAGATACAGATGGAGAGGCTGCGTCCAGAACTGTCGCTCGATTTGGAGCACATGTGTAGACACCGACCATGCGCTTTTGCTAACCTTTGCCACTTATGGCGCCGGCGCGACATCACTCTCGCCCTGAAGGGTTGAGTGTACAATGCAGTGGTACGTTCGACCTTACTGTACGGTTGCGAAACCTGGCCCCTTAGATCAACGGATATAAAGAGGCTAGTTACGTTCGACCACCGGTGCCTTCGCAATTCAGCTCACATCTGGTGGGAACACGGAGTAAGCAACGAGCGTGTTCGACGCCTTGTTTACGACACAGGAAAAGGAACTGAACCTCTCAGCACCGTTATTTCACGCACCAGGCTCCGATGGCTCGGCCACGTATTATTCATGCCAGCCCACTGGCTCCCGCGACGTGCGTTGTTTGCGCGCCGGGGGTGTGGATGGAGGAAGAAGAGGTGTGGCCAAGTGATGACTTCAGGGGCCTGACTCGCAGTGCCTCGTAAGCGACTTCAAGGTTCAAGTGCTTATTGATCTAGTTCTGCTTTGAATGCCAAGCTTCAATGAACTCAGTTGCTTGCTGGTTTTTGGCCCTTCCGAGAATGCTAGCGTGTTCCAGGTCAAATTGGTGGTTCTCAGCATCCATATGCACTGACATAAGGGTTATGATCGTGGCGACGAATGGCCAGGCTGTGTTCGTGTAGCCATTGTGCCGAGCTTTCTACCAGTCTCTCCCACGTAGTATTTGTCGCAGTTCCATCAGATCTTATAAATCACACCAGTTGCATCTACTTTGCCAAGTTTATCTTTCACTGAAGAGCTTACCGCGAATTTTTTCGTTGGCTGGTGTGCAACTTTGACTCCAAAAGGTGATAAAAGCCTCGCTACCATTTCAGAGATTCTGTTGATATATGGCAAAGTGGCTCTCTTTTCAACTGTTGCATTTGTCGAGTTCTGTTGAGGAGTCTTTTATGGTGCGAGGCAGCGTAGAATGAAGCCTTTTGGGTAGGAGTTCCGCTTGAGCAGACTGAAGAGATGGCCTACCTCCGCCCGTCTCAGATACGGTGTGATACAATAAGTTTGTGCTCGTTTGAAAAGGGTTCGCATGCAGCTGCGTTTGTGAAACGAAAATTAACAACCAGATGCAAGAAACCGAATGCAGGAACGCCAGTGACTGCGTGACCGCGCCATGTCAGATACGGTTCTAACCATTGGTGTGGACCATCCCGAGGTCCCCATCCATGAAGACTGCACGCATCCGCTTGACCAAGTCTCTCAGTCTATTTCTTCAAGTCATTATGCCACGTCATGGACTGGCGACCTCGAGGTTTCACCCAAATTGGCGCGGCCACGGCGTATAATGCACGCCGAGGAAGCCGGTCAACGGGCATACGGAGGACATGGTCTAGCCAACATGAGCGATTAAGATTCGGAAAAAAACTCCAGTGAGGCCCAGAAGGCTTCTTGCCAAGAACCAACTGGCAGACTTCAGCATTGCTTACCCGGTGTTCCCACTAGACGTGAGCAATACTCCGCAAGCAACGTGAAGAAAAGGTCGAAGTGGCGAGACGCTCTCATTTGGAAATCTGAGTTTATATATCACCTGGTGCTATCCGAATTTTAAAGTTCTGTCAAGCATTAGTAAGCAACTATGTTGTCGCACCTAACAAAATTTGATGATGAAAGGTATATGGGAAGGCGGCAGGTGGCCCGAGCAGGTCGACATTCCAAAGGCTGATATATGCCACTCGAGGTGAACTTGATGAAATGCTGTAAGACGGATTTCAACTGTTCCTATTAGAGATGGTGTTACAAGGAGTAATGAAAACAAGCAAAATCGAAGCGCCCAACGTGTATGCATATGTTCAATACGTGTGGTTCTTTGTAAACAGTTCAGTTGATCATCTATAATCTGAGCACCGAAGTGCGGTGGACACACAAGTACTAAAAGCCAATTGTTTGTATGCCTTGCGTCTTCGGCCACTGGGGCTAATGTCAACAACATGCTATGTTTGCATCAAATGAAACCGGTCGTGACTGCACTCCTATCACAGTGGCGGTCATCGGCTCTAGTCTTCGAAGCACACGGGTTGCAAGGGAAAGAACTCATGATCTGCAAGTGACCACGACAAATGCGGTATCGGATGGTAGCACGACTCTTAGCTCGTTACCAGAGGAAAGGAGGGTGCGGATAGTTTGCAGGTGGAGCAACTAGGATTGGTTGAAGCCTCAAGTATAATACCAGCTGCACCAGGGTCCATGGCTCCTACGTGCGTCTCGCGGATCGGTAGGGCAAACAAGCACCCCGAAACTCCCGAGGTTAACCTTGCAGGAAACTGGAAAGGTAGCGTTACTGGACCTAGTAAGTTCAATAGTAAGAATCTGGTCAGGCCCCCACTTCGAAGCTGGCCTCGGTTGGAGCGTCTCGGCTCCCTGGTTGGGGTCCGAAAGACGATGAACACGTTTGGCTAGATACACTTGATGATATGGCTAGGAGCCGACCTTAGTGAAGTTCGTGCTGAGTAGTTTGTCCCACTCCAACCCTCTTAGTCTCTGCTCCAACCACGATCTTACTATTTAGCCTTATATAATTTTGCATAATATTTTTGCTGCATAGTAGCCGCTTGGTAGCTTATCGGAACGATGCCCATCCGTTACCGGTAACTCAGCTGGCCTGCACCTGTTGCACCTTTCCCCTTTTTTTCTTCTATGTATTGTGGCACAGTAGCTGAGGTGTCTCCCACCGCTAGCTAACGTGTATAATGATGGTGATGATGATGGGCAGGTGGTTACACAACAAGTCAAGTCGGTTGAAACCCAAAAAAGATTATCGTGTTGATCTGCAACAGCTCAATCTTGATCCAGCTTTTCAGACAGAAACTAATGATGGTGGCGTCAAAAGCGGGCTGTCCCTCGAGAGTTGCGCGCGAGAAGAAACAACCACGTCAGGAAGGACTAGGCGTATACCAATTAGTGCAGTGTGAAAAACAAATGGGGAAGTTGGTGAAGCGCTGTGAGCTTGTTGATGTGGTTGCTGTGAGAGAAACAAGGCTTTCTCCGAGCGAAATGATTAGCGACTTGCTGTTGGAATGTGTGGGCTATCGAGCAGATAGACCTGATCATCAAAGTGGTAGAGGAGCACTACTGCTTATAAACGCCAG